CGCATGGGTCAGATTGGCAGAACGTGTGCATTCACTTAGGAGGACTGCCTCAGGGGCGCTTCCGCTTGATGCAGCAATTGCCGATCTCAACAGGGACCCGACTGTTCTCTTCCACTTGCTCCCTGCTCGGGAGACCAAGGCTCCTGAGAGGCCGCAGCGAGATCCTTCCAAGAAGGAAGATGACAAGAAGAGGAAGATTGATGAGAAGAAGAAGGTCAAACCTGATTCCACCAAGGTTCAGAAGAGCGAAATGCCAGATGAACTTAAGTCGATTCCCAATCTTCTGACTGTCTCCGAGTCAGGAGAGAAGTTTTGCTGGCCATACAATTGCGCGAAAGGATGCAAATTCGCGAAAGCAGGGAAATCCTGCCGCAGAGGAAAGCACGCCTGCATGCGCTGCGGAAAGAATCACTCCTTGCAGGAATGCAAGGAAAACAAGGAGTGACCCTCGAGTGGGCCACCCGATGGCCCACGTCCGCCGAAGTGCATCAAGTTGTGCCAGACCGGTGAGGCGCCGGCTGGTCCCAGGCATGTGTCTTCATCTTGCATTGGTTCTGGCTTGTCGTCAGCATCAGGGCTTTGTGAGGGCCGTGCAGTTTTTCCAGGTTCGGTCGAGCAGTCCATTGTTCATGCCGATGATGCTTCGTGCAACCCTTCCCCTAATCCTTTTCCCGCCGGTGCCCTGCATTCCAACCAGCAGGATGCCCTAATTAAGACACCAGAGTCTCTTAATGAGTTACCTGGAATACCTATGGAAGAAGTCTCCTTTTGGGGATTGGAGCCCGCCGATGAGCTGGCGAATGATCCCTGCCATGACGCTGAGAATTTCGCTTGCAAAATCCTAAAGGTCCGAGAGTCTCCAAACCGAGGTGACATTCGTGCTCTGTTCAACATGCTGCCGCACGAGACTCCTCCACGCGGGGATGGAGCTGGTGCCACTTTCTCCTGTGGGATGTATGCACAGGGTTCCCTGCGAGGCCTCAGAGTTGGGAGCCGTAAGTTCCCCCACTCCTGCCAGGTCCTGACTGCCATGGTTCGGAAGTGCGCGCCTTCGCATTCGTTCACCAGCTTGAATCTTTTCTTCAATGTCAAAACGGCCTTGCACATTGATGTCAACAACGAGCAGCTGCCAAACATAATCATTGGCATCAGTGATTTCCGAGGCGGACAGGTGCTTGGCGAAAATCCCAGGGGGTCTCACGTCATATCAACGGCATCTGGAGATGCTCGTGCGGACCTTCTTGAAGTTGCAGGTACCTATGCCGTGTTTGATGCCTACCGGTTAAGGCATGAGACCGTTGACTGGATCGGTGATAGGTTAGTCCTTGTTGCCTTTTCGGTTAAGGGTTCCCACTTGCTTAGCCCAGATGATCGCACCGAGTTGATTGAGCAAGGGTTTGTCCTTCCGTCGATGTCAGAGTGCTCCACCAATGACCCGCC